GTCGTAAACAGGAGAGGGAGTGACGCCATTCTGGTGCACGAGAATAAGGGGAAATACGATGGACAGATTTCAAGATGAGTTCGAATGAAACTGTTTTTCCGATTCGAAATGTCGCAAGGATATTTACAGTATGCGACAAAATAATAGCACTGTACTTTTCAATGTTTCTTGAAATTAATGTAATGCATGCGTATGTTACATACGTAAGTACTTACATAGTGTGTTCCGGTCCCTAACCCATTAACCCTTTGACTACCGAAATCACGTGTTTCGCTCAGGACGCCACGGGAATGCACCCCTATAGATGCAAGATTTGTTCTAATATTTTTTCGGTCGATGTTCTAATAAAAATTTTTAGATGTTCAATGAAGCACGTTTTATTTCAAAGTATTTTCTAATTAGCGGCTGTATTCAAAATGCACTAGCTGTCAATTTTCATTCAACTTTTACAACCGTAGTTTCACGAATAGTTCAAACACTCTAGTCACCAATGACCAACATGGCAGTCAAAGTGTTAACAGTTTATCCCTGAAACGTTATAGTAATTTTAGATAATTTCGTACTACCGTGTTTGATCAAAAATTTGTTGTCACGTATTATATTTTTTTTTCTTTTCTTTTATTAATGAGTATGCAGGTGTACAATTTGCCACGTGAGCATTTGGTACATTTTGTAGGATTTAGATATACGTTACATTTGATGTTTGTTTGTAGTATATAGTTGTGCGTGTACGACGTTTAATATACCCGTTTGAAGTAATAAACAGGCAAAGGAAGATCGTTTCTATTACGATTATTGGTTCTTTCCAGTACTCCGTTGCCTCGGTAAATAATATCTCATAACGTTCTAGCTGTCGATATTTCATGCTTTGACCGACCCCTATTACGGTAACTGAATATCCTAGTACCATTTGGAAATATTCTCACTGAAAATGTCACATTGTCTCAGTAGGAAGATTGTATTTATCTGGTATTTCTGCTGTCGATGTCTTCTTCGAGTTTAGAGTTTCGTTATCAGGAAACCACTAAAATTGTGGTAATAGGTAGACCGTGAAGTAGACAGTGAAGACGTTTGTTCGATAAGTAGCTATCCTCGTATGTAAATGATATGCTAATATATTTAAAATTACACGTTGTTTTAAATTTTATATCAAATTCTGCATGTCCATCGTATACTGCTTTTTGCATTCTGAACATGATCGTAAGAATAATATAACGTAGGAACTCCTCATGGCGATCTTTGCATGTTCCTCGCATACTGGTCTTTTAAATTCTAGACACAATTGCAAAAATAACATAACATACAAATTCATCATAGTGTACTTACATAAGTACTCTACACAGGACAATGTGTTATCTCTCTAAAAGTACAGAAACCCACTTGCTGCATCAAAGAGACCATAAACAGTCCAAAACAACCACAACGAATCTTTATTATAGATAAAGAATTATTTCGATTTTGTTTTTTCAAATGGAAACAATTTTTATTATTGATACAAGAATTATTCAACTTTTTCGTTATAAATCTTTCTCCAAACAATCGATAGACGCGATCTCGAAGTGACAAATCGAGCAAAATTCTCGAAGACGAGGTAGATGATATTGATCGTCATCTTCCATCCCCTATAATGAAGAACCCACGCAGAATTTAAAAGAAACTAAACAATTTTTATTATTGGCGTAATAATTATACAATTTTTTCGTCAGAAATCCATTTCCAGATAATCGATGGAAACGATTTCGAGATAACGAATCGAGCAAAATTCTCGAAGATATGGTATACGTTCATAATCGCTATCTTTCATTCCCTATAATGAAGAACCTACGCAGAATTTAGAAGAAAGTAAACAATTTTTGTTATCGACGCAAGAATTATTCAACATTTTCGTCAGAAGTCCATTTGCAGGCAATCGATGAAAAGGATTTCGAGATGACGAATCGAGCGAAATTCGCGAAAACAAGGTAGACGATAATGATCGCCAGCGAAAAGATGGCAATCACAAAGAAGTGGCTGCTCGAGGTGGGACGCAAATAAACGTTGGAAAGGGGATGACCTAACCCCATAAATTCGCGAGGAGACACTCCCAGCCGGCGTGTCTGAACCGTGAATCCATTCAATGTCAAAGTGGATTCCGTGGCGAGCCATAGGGCCGGTTACTATACCGAGCGTC